GACTTTTAGGACAACCAATAGCGATTTTCCTTACTGAGGAGTTGGCAACACTGGTGTCAGTGTGTTCCCTTCTGCTTCTCCCTCAGCTGCTCTCTTAGCAGCTGTTTTAGCAGCAGCAGCTAGCAGCTGATTAGCTTCTTGATATCCTCTTTCTTATCCTATTTTTATTCGCAGTAGCTGCTTTTAGGTTTTTTAAAGTGATGTATGTGAAGCCAGTCAGATGAAGTGGAGCATTTTGGCAGCTTATGATGAAGTAGGTGGAGACCAAAAAAAGAGCCAAAAGAAGAGTCACCAGAAGTGCAACTCAAAATGCTAGTTGCTAGCTGCTAGTATCTGCCTCAATCGGTTCATTTTAACTATTCAAAATTGAATCTATGAAATAATGACAACCTTGTAATTTCCCTTTTCCTTCTTTTCACTTTCTTTCTCACCCTTAGCCAGCCAGCCTTTACATAATAAATTAGTGAGGAAAGCCAGATAAATTTAGTTTCAGTGCTAGCTATATAGCTAGCAAGTTGTAACCTGGTGGTGTTATTGAGTTGTGTGGATATGTACAGGCAAGAATAGCTTTTCCTAAAAAATTAACTAAATTTCTATGCAGATGACACTGTTGTGTGACTGTGTGGCAGCAGCTTTTTAGCTCACTGACTGAGCCATCTAAGGTTTTTCACAGGCACACCAGTGTTAAATCTCAAATTTATATAGTAATGCATCAATGTCTCCACCTGAACCTACAGAGTATGCTTGTTTCCATACTGTCATGCAGACAGAGAGGAATAGTCAAATATTATGACAGCCTTTTGCAAACACTGTATCACTGAACTTGCAATGCAATGCAACCAGCCACTGCAAACAGAAACATGGTCCTAAATCCATCCTAGAACATTCTGGACCATCTGGACTGAGGCCCATTTTCAGACCTCAGAGTCAGAGAATAAAAGATCCAAAAGACTTGGTGTGAAAGGATGTGTTTTCTCAGTAACGAGCTCATTGAATATCATTTGCTTTGAATACGTGAGCGAGCATCTGAGATCAAAGCTCGCATTCCGCGACAGTCGTGCATGTGTGTGTTTTGTGCGTGTACTTGTCTGCTGTGGAGGGGGCGAAGAGGATGCGACCGTGTGTTTGAGATCGTAATCTTGCTCACGCATGTTTGTGTGTCACTGCATGTGTGCATGCATGTGTGTGATTCTTGTTTGCCACTGCCTCTCTGCACCACAGCAAACTGTCAGCTCACTGTAGCATACACAATTTCTCCTTCCTCCTTTTTCTCCCACATCCTCTACCCCCGGCTTCTGCCGTCTTCTGTCTCTCCGTCTCATCCTATCTCCTTCTTTCTTTCTCTTCCTTTTCTTGTCTCTCTCTTTTTTTATCTTTCAGTCTCCATTTCTCCCTTTTCTTTGAAAATTTAATCACTCAGTAAAGAGGCATGCATTTCAATGTGAAATGGGATTCTGCTACAGATTGAGAGAGCTGAGGCAATACAGGGACGAGGGGGAGGGTTGCATGTGTGCATGTGTGTGTATGAGAGGGAGAGAGAGGAGAAGAGACAGTGATTGTGGTCTCACAGTTTGTACTAAAGAGAATGATTAATCCCAGCCTTTGATTCTGCATTCATCTAACGGGATGTTGCAGCAGGAGCGTGTGTGTGTGATTCTGCACAAGCATGTGTTAGCCTGCACATGCAGGCCTGGATTACTATGTGCTCTGAGCAAGCATGGGTCTTGCGTGTTATTCTCTATGGATGTGCATACTGTATAACTGTATACTCATTATATACTCGAGTGTGACGCACACGTGCACTTTCCTGTGTGTGTGCGTGCACCCATCTGCCTGTAGAGTATCCGCACTCTGATCTGTGGGAGTGCAAAATGAGTAATACTGTACATGTACCACTTTTTCTAAGGAACATTATTAGCTATTTTTATATGGAGTTTACGCTGGTGCTCACCGCTCTTAGCCAGCCACCACTGAGCTCTTACTCTGAGCTACACTACTCACTGCTATGCATCCTCAAACACTCCACTCTGCACACACCAGGCTCACTCCCAGGAGGCTGGAAATGACAGCCTTTGTAATTTCATGTGCAGTTTTGAATGTTGTAATCTTGATGAAATCTGTCTGTTGTGGAGCTGTGAGGGAGAGCACTGATTGTAATAGAGGAAAAGGCTCTATCCTTGGATGACTTAGATCAGTTGATATTTCTTTTTTATGTTCACAGTGAATTAATCGTGCAAAAACACGCTGTAGAATGAATATATGACTTTACTGTGCTATATTTTCAACAAACTTGTTTTTTTTTTTTTTATACCTTCTAATATGCCATATTAGAAGCCCTATATCAGTGACGGTGACATCTTTTCCTAATTTTACCAATTTCATATGCCGATGTTCCCGTTTTCTGATTGCTACAAGAATAAAAATGTCTTGAATGCAAACATAAGTCTTTTTCAACCTTTCCGTTGTAACAGTTTGCTTCACTTTGCTGTTTTTCAGATGACGTTCATCATGTTTGATGCTACTGAAGCCTTTCACTAACCGAAAGGGCAAAACACATCCCTTTTTAAGCTTTTAATCTGAAAGTATATTCCAGCTGCTTTTACTTTTACCAACAAGTAAAAGATATTGGAATTAACTAGTAAATGATGACAATATTTGTACATAAAAGATGCAAGTAATGAAATTAATTGAGCTTTCCCCATCATTTTAACTCCAGTTTTTATCAAAAGTAGTGCAGCCTAGTGAAATTTAGCACTACAAACATTATTCAAAAGCCTTTCAACGCTTTCCAGAAGTCCGAAAACTCGCGTTTGATTATTTGTTACAGTAGCAGAATATAGTTAGAAACTGGCATCTAGGGAATGATGATGGTCTAATCTAGCCATGAAGCCTACAGGTAGATGCCGGGGTGGTGGATGGGTTGAAAGAGCAAGCAGCAATGCAGGGCAGTAGTGGCAGCATTGACATATCAGCGGGAAATATGGGAAATTTACAATTAAATAGACCAGCAAATCGGGATGGTGTGTTTGCCATATTGCATGAGGGGAGCGAGGCGTGTAATTCACCATCCGCTGTCTCCCAAAAATTTTTTTTTGATGCAACATTGCACCTAACAACGTCTGCAAAAGGCTCACATATAGTGGGAACTCAAGAGCTGAACTCATAGTGTTTATGCAGAGGAACACTTGAAGCTCTACAAATAAGATTTAGTTGATAGAAAATGACAACCATCTTCTTGAAGATGTTTGTTGTTGTGGGTGGCTATGGCTCCAGAGGTGGAGCAGGGTATCTACTAGTTTGAGGGTTGTTGGTTTAATTCCTGGTTGTTCTAGTCTGCATGCCAAAGTATTCCTGAAGAAGATACTGAACTCTGAGTTGCTCCTGATGAAATCATCAGAGAAAACACTTAAATATAGGGGAAAATTCTTGGGTTAATGACACATGTTGTATAAAGCACTTTAGGCGCTTCAGTACAATGGAAAAGCGTTATATTGAGGTGAGCCAGTCCTTTGAATATTCTAAAAGATGCAGGATATTAAAGCAGCAAGAGACATTTCTTTTTAGTTTTATAGTTTTATAGTTTTATCGTTCATTGGATTATATTGTATCCATGTTTTCATGTTGTTTAGGCCAAATTGTGACGCTACCATCATAATGTTGCAACAGAGCAACATTTTTCCAGTCCTCTGTGGTCCAGTTTAGGTGAGCCTGTGTATATTGTAGCCTCAGCTGACAGGAGAGGTACCCGCTGTGGTCTTCTGCTGCTGTAGCTTGTCTGCTTTAAGGTTTCATCTCTTGTGTGTTCAGAGATGGATGCCTTGGTTGTGGCGATTGGTTGTTTGAGCCCCTGTTTCCATCCTATTAGGTTGAAGCACTCTGGCCAATCTTCCCTTGGATCTCTGGTATCAACAAGGCATTTTCACCATTCCCTGCAAAGCTTAGAGATGGTTATGTGGGAAAATCCAAATAGATCAGCAGTTCCTGAAATACTCAGACCTGCCCATCTGGCACCAACACTTAAATCACCTTTGGCTGATTAGAGAGTGATCAGTGAGTGTGCACAATATACAATAACTTGAACTTCATTAAATTAAACAAGGGATTCAGAACAACAGGGTATCTTTGCTGATTTCAAAGCACTTTTTTAGTTATGTAGCTCCATTAACCATATTAATGGCCTCCTATGAACTCTAGTTTTCTTTCAGTTTCAGAAGAAACTTGCAAATTTATTTCTTTGCAAGCTCTTATTTTGAAATTACCATGAAGGAGTGGGTTTCATTAATGACAAATTGAAACTGACTGGAAGAAAAAAGCAAGATTACTGTAATTTATCTGTGAATGAGTATGAAATTTATATTATTTGTTGTACAAACATTACACAATATAAGTTTTACATGCTCATTTGAAACTCAGCAGCTTTATTAGAAAATAATTACAAACTTTCAGGTTACGCGGTTCTTTGTTCACGTGAGATACACCCACACACACACACTTTGTCACATCTTAACACTTAGATGGGTTTACATCATCACAAAGCTTCTAAACGCTTTGTCACACCGGTAACGGGGAGTCTAGAGAGATGCACACAACCACACGTACACACTCTGGTGGACTCCTACTGGCAGGCGTATCCTTAACTCAGCGTCCCTCGGCAGCACTTGTCATCTGCATGTCAGCAAATCCAACCCCGTTCCTCCCACACGCGTACATTTTTTTCTTTTCAAAAATCCCTCCATCATTGCTTCACACCCTCCGCACACACTCCCTTCTCCCAGCCGTGCACCGACCCATGAGTCAGTAACGAGGCGCATTTCAACAAGAGTTTTCTCCCCTGACACGAACTCCTTTCGCTCAGCCATTGATCCTCACCTTCCCTCCATCACTTCATCCATCTCTTCTTCATCCCACCGCCTCCCCCCTCCATACTCCCTCCCTCCCCCTTGACAGGAGAGCACAGAATAATTGGAGGAGCCTTCAACAGAGGCAGTGGACAGCTTGGCGTCAGATGTTGCAAACACCATAGTCTCTCTGCCTCTTTCCCTCTCTCCCTCCTCACACTCATGGATGAGTGATGCCCATGACAGACCCCATCCTCTGAGAGCCCCTTCTGGCAATTACTACACACACACAACGGCAAACACACACACACACACACAAACACACACACACACACAAACATACAGACTTTCACATCAGAGACTCCCACATCACTTAACCAGTTGTCTTCAACTAAAAGGGCCGAGCGGAAACACTCTACAGCCTCCTCTCATCAGCCTCTCAACACACACACAACTCTTAGAGGTTGTTGTTGATGACTATCTTTACTGTCTCTGCTTCTGTTGATCCATATGTGCATTATTCTACATGCAATATGTTTATGGGCTCTAAGCTCCCAGCTACTGCACTAGCACAAACACACATGCTTGCATGCAAATTTATGTCTTGTGATGTGTTTTCTAACTCTTGTAACCAAATAAGGTTAAAGTCTGTTGCAGGGGATAATAGCTGGTAGCTTTTACATCCCCTCCAATCTTTTATGTAACAATAAGAACTGTTCAAGGCTTTCAATCTCATGCACTAAGTTTACAGATTAACGTAAATTAATCTTATATGAACAGATGTTCTGGTTATAAAAACAAAACAAAACAGTTCAAATTTAAACAAAAATGCATTGTGGCTTTTTCTTGTTCTAGTTTGCTGTTCACAAAGGTAAAGCTTGAAGAGGTGCTGCTCGGCCCGGCTGCAGCCCTGCATACCTGTGAGGAGATGTTGCAGCACTGGCAGAGCCGCTATGATGTCAGCCGCTCCAGGTGAGCATGCACAAGAGAGATAAGCATTGGCGCTACTTTGTTTATCGTGCGCTGCAAAATGTGCATTACCGTTTAGCTCAAATAGTTTCTGTGCTGTTGTGCACGATGAGGCTGGGAGGGGGCGGCTGTCTCTGCTACGGTGTTATTCAGTGTGTGTGTGTGTGTGTGTGTGTGTGTGTGTGTTCACGCATTAATGCTTTTTCTGATATAATGTCCTACCTGTGACCTGAGTGCTTTTGAGATGTTGACCTTTTTCATGTTTTGAATACCAGAACTGACATACAGCAAAGCTCATTATTACCCTTCATAATAACTGAACACTAAAGGCAATACAAAAATACAAATATAAAAAAAAAACAAATGCAAAAATTATATTTATTTATAAATGAAGGCTGGTAGAACGAATACAGACAAAAATGCACAGAAAATGTATATTCTTTGTAAAAATTTCCCATCTAACTCTTTATTTTCACATAGTTCCTGAAGGAGCTAGGAGGATGAACAACAAATATACTCTCTGACCATTTCTTAATCAGAGTTTAGCATGAAGTCAGTTAAACATCTGAGATATTGATCTGGTCAGTTTGGCAGCAGAAGGGGTTCTCAATCAGTTTTAGCTCCTTCATGCCATTGCTCAAGAGCTCTCTCTTGGTGGTGGGTCAGTGAAGGTCTGTAGAAGCGTATCTGAGGAGAGACACACAGGCCTCTACAGGGTAGGCATCAGCACCCTGACTGCCATTAGGTATTGGGTTAAAATTCTGGTATGGTGGGTCCTGTGTTTCTTTTGGTGCACAGCAATTCCCGGACTCATGTGACGAGAGTATGCAGGCAGCTCCTGGAGCATGAAGGAATTGATACCGACGACTGTCTCGTGCTCGCCTGACCAACATTTGGACAAAAAGTGGTGCACTAAGTTAAAGCATCAGCTAATGCTAGCTAGTTTGCTAAGCCAGGTACCTCCATAGACTCTATTTATGTATTACACAAACAAAATTATACCTAATAATAAATACTAAATGTTGACACATTAGAATTTCACTGACCAGAACACAAGAAAAAATAATTTAGATGGTCCATACCTCACATCAGGTGATAATCATTGCATCCAGTACATTGGAGAGGGCCACTTCAATGACTCAAAGTAGCTGATGACTGACTCTCAGGCATAGCTTCCACACTAAACTCCTTGTAGACGTGTGTGGGTAACACCAGTAGGTATTTTTTTTGAAATCTCTATTTAAATTAGAATAAAGCTCATTTGAATAAATTCAGGTTTTAAAAAACTACATCTACTGACTCACCACTTGAATCTGATTAAAAACGGCTTCACATTTTATGACTTTTTCCAGAAATAAGGTTTAAAATATCTTTTCCCCCTGAATGTTGTGCATTTACTATGCATCCACAAAGCTGAGGCTTCACTAATGGCTCAGTCAAGTGGTTCTTGAATAAATGGCATGCTGGAACTTCAGGAAGTGCAGTTTCTGCTACAGTAAAAAGTATAATGCTCGACATCACACTGGTTACACTGTGAACTTCTGCATGGAAGCATGCATTAGTGTTGCTACACAATAGAGCTGGGCGATATGAGATTTTTTTCATATCA